AGTGTTTGTATATGAGGAAAATAGTACAAATTTATATGTGCAACCATCATATGATCACCGAGTTCATGGCCTCGGCCCAGCTCATGACCTACCTCAATGGGTACCCGTCTGCAATACACATGCTGAGTTCAAAATAGGCAGTTTTCATGGGTACTTTTCGACCTGAAAAGATATGGCGATGTCCTTCTTATGCATAATGAGTGTCACAATAGGCCACATGAAGGCATCAAAAATCATATGAGGTCATCCAAGATCAATGACCTATGTTGCCAGCAGCAGATGAGCTAAATGAACGTGTGTGACGCATGTAACCACCCACTTATCGTATTTGTAAAGCCGACCACGTACAATTTCATGTATCATTGTCTCTGTTCTCAGTTTGTTGCAAATATATTGCCAAGCGACAAAGGGACTATGCATAACGCAGGCAACGGCTACGCGGTCCCGACTACCTGCAGATGACCACACCACTGAAAAACATTACATTGGTCACATAGACTCGGTTAGCACTTCAGACTTTTGAGGTGGATGGCTTATAAATTTGGTCTAAATTGACCTAGATGACCTTAAGGTTAGCCTGAAATACTTTAATTGTGTGTGGTGTACTTTTGTCGCACACAGCACATAATAGAATAAACCTAGTCCGAAGCACATGGTGAAAATGCATCGTTCTTGTAAGCTACTGGTAGATCCAGTAGGGGGAAATAAATGGTCGGAACGGAATCCCACAGCCTTAACGGTTGTTTCGGTGGCCTTTATATTCGTCTTGACTTCGCAACATAGGCCTTAAGTGCATATATCAGAACCACTATCAAAACGACTATGATTTGACGACACCTTCAAAACGCTATGTTTGTTTTACTAATGCGGGGTGTAGGAGTTGGAGAATCCAGTAGGAAAAGTTGACTCACACACCCCAGGCCTGGCGCAGGTTAATCAAGCATTATCTGCTTCAGATTGGGCACCTATTTTTCTTTACCCTGCGATGTCCAATCAATGGGAAACATATATATATATATATATATATATATATATATATATATATATATATATATATATATATAATATCTATCTCTCTTTCTCGCTTTCTTTTTCTCTCTCTCGCTCTCTCTCTCTCTCTCTCTCTCTCTCTCTCTCTCTCTCTCTCTCTCTCTCTCTCTCTCTCTCTCTCTCTCTCTCTCACTCTCTCTCTCTCTCTATTCCCTCATCGTCTAGATGTTGTCGCATCGGTTAGACGGATCCGTGTTCACAATGTTCGTGCGTCGCCTACATCAGAAGCGACCCGCTATCCCGTCGTGAAGCCGTGGTTGACGGCAACTTGTGCGCTTTAAAACGCTGAATAAACATGCGAACGTTGTTCTGAGACTTGACTGCAGAGATAATTCCGGTGGCGGATAGTTGAGGTTGGCCCTTCTGGAATGCGGTAATCCCATAAGACGATCAAAGGCAGAACGAAATCGGCAGCCGCTTTTCCCAATGTGACCGCATTTAACTGCTATTTCGTAGGATTCGGCAAGATCACAGCAGCTAATGCCCATCAGCTTCATGAGATGGATCGGCCAGACTGCCACCAGTTGCCAGCTGTTCCTTCCGTGTGTCTCCTGTGAAGCTTGAGTATATCTGATGCGTAGCGCCATCTATGAAATCATCCAAATCGACATGTGATCACGGCGGAAGTGTTCATTTATTCCATAAATATTGCAGTAGCGTTGGGCATGCCCTGTTGCACATTCTTAACTTCAGCCTCATGACTGAACACGTTTCTCAAAGTGAGAAGCGTGCAATGCTTACAGAGATTCCATATACCTCCACGATGAATCCTTGTCAAGTATCTATAATCGCAAAGATTTATAGCAGAATCGTGCACGGCCAGATCCGCATAGCCTTCATTACCGCCACTTGTTGGTCAATAACCAACATGGCTACAGACGGCACCTTTTAGTGGTGACACGCTGGATTATGTTCGTGCAGGTGTGTCAAGGGCTGAGCTTTAGAGGTCTAAAGCTGTTTGTTATGGTGCCATGTCATATCCCTTGCTTGATGCTGTACATCGTCACTTTGTTGGACTATTTTCTCATTATATGTCAGTTTTGATGGCATAAGTTTCCCATCGTGTCATCATAATTTTCCCATCTGTCTCATGGAGTTGGTTCTAAAACATGCATTGCATGCCTTATTTCAGTGACGACTGGAAAATTACCACTGTACCACTGTACCACTAGCCATCACCTCTGAGGAAAGCGCGTCATGGTATATTGGATGGCGTAGGCTGGGATTTTAGCTCCCCCCCCCCCCCCGATGGATAGTTAAATACGACGCGCTCGGGTATGTGGGTGGGTGTGTATGTGCACGCGCGCGCTTGTGTGTGTGTGTGTGTGTGTGTGTGTGTGTGTGTGTGTGTGTGTGTGTGTGTGTGTGTGTGTGTGTGTGTGTGTGTGTGTGTGTGTTTGTGTTTGGGGGGTTAATTTGCCTCTTGAAATCTCAAAAGCGTACCAAACTAGAAACGTCAAAGCCACATATTACGTTTCTATATATATATATATATATATATATATATATATATATATATATATATATATGTATCTCTCTCTCTCCCTCTCTCTCTCTCTTTCTATACATATATATATATATATATATATATATATATCCTGTATGTGAAACCACTTGTGCCAAATTTTGAGGTCGTTAGGCCATCACTTTTGCGTGAAAAGAGGAACTCCAGATGGGTGTCTGAGGTATCAACAGATCTTTTAACGTAACCACTTTGAGCCTAGAGCTCTCCTTTAAGCAAAAGGTCACAGGTATCTGTTTCGGGTCAGTGATTTGATCTGGCCTTTAGGAGTTCACGGAAAACAAAAACGCGCGGGATGGTTTTGGTTTTTGAATTTCAATAGGCGCCAAGGATTACGCCATGGGGTATACATCTAACAAGAAATGATTAATCCGGGTCATTTTAGGTCAGTGGCCTCCTCTGATCATCATAAAGTTCAAATGAGATGTATGTTGACGTCCTTGTAATCAAACAATTGGACATAAACGTAAAAACCACTTCCTATTGCAAATTATCCACTAAACAAGCAGTTTGGTATTCGCCTCGGTCCTACTTTCATACCTGACCCAAGGTCAAAAGAATAAGTCGTCCTAAAATTGGTTGATTGTCTGGCAAACCCTCTCGAAGATACATGGATTCGTTTAACACTCTCTCGTGGGATGGGCTTGAACGATTCCCTAGAAACTGCCTGTGCTGTTACAGCGATTGTCTGCACCGACATGTCGCTGGAACTCTGGCCATCAGTGTTCTTACTTCTGAGATTGCGCCAGCGCGCAAGCTCAAATTTTCACGCTTTTTTTGCCTAACAATTTAATTATGTAAAGTGACCCACGTCTTTGGGCAAACATGGGTGGGCCTTTTTCATGTTTTACCTAACTTTGACGCCCCTCTTGAACAGCAGGAGACAACTTACCTTTTCGGGGTAAGGGGCCACGTAGGTTTAACACAGGGAGGCACATTATCATTCCCAGTCAGGGGCTGATTCGCCATTCCGTCCTAGCGCGGGGGGCTACCGGCTACCATTCTGACGACATTAGGAGTGGTAAACTGGTCATCCGGAGGCTCTTAGGGGAATATCTCGTACATTGGTTCCCTCCCTGACATGGAGGGCCTTCTGACCCGTGAAGTTTGCCCTAGATCAGCGCAGGGCTCTCTTGACGCAACAAATCCTTTTTCGTCCCAAGGGCCCAACGATTGCAAAGGCTCCAGCTCGGCTTAACGGGTCCCTGTCTGAAGTAGGATGGAGGGCCCCCTTTCGGTAACTTGGGCCCCTGACTGACACAGGGCCCTTCCAATGTTTCAACTGTGTACACTCATCGTAAGCCCACATGTCTCCTTTCATTTGCAGATGATCCCGACCAACGCGAGAGGCCCTCTGGTATTAGAGGCCCTGTCCGGGTCGTAACCAATGCAACTCGCAAGGCTCGGCCTTGTCCCTGCTTGGGAAATGAGTCCTCAGGCCCAGACCAACTCGGAGCCTTCTGTTCTGTATTGGCGGTGGCCTGGCCGGCACGTGCTCTCGTCGACTCAGGAGCCCCCGATCGGCGCAAAGAAGCATCTTTCAAGCCTGTTCATGACTTCCGGCCTTTGGACCCGCAAATCGGGTTCTTCATCGTCAATCACGAGGCCCTGCAGACCCCTTGAGACCTAAGCGGGAGGTGGGTAGGGGGGGGGGGAGGGGGCGGCACGTATCTATGTGCCCCCCTGACTGCAACACTGGTGAGATCCTTCAGCGTTCCTATTTCGTGCAATGTGGAGCGTACCGCTGTCCTGACCTTGAACGACTTTGAAAGTCCGACACTTATCTGACACACACACTACTTATATGCAACGTCGTGACAAATGGACCAGATCTTTGGGTAGTGCTTGATAAATTCTATGTGGCTACAATACATCATTGTGACAGACGCGTTTTTGAAAAGATCTCACGAACGCGAATACACGTATCGATCAAACTTGACGAATGTGTAATTCGCGCGTTTAAGTGCAACAGCCAGTGCCACCTTGTGTACGGGGTGCTCAAACCCGGAACAGACCAAGATTAGTGCTCTAACATTGTAAAAAAAATATGAAATGTCTCAACCGTATGGTTCAACGTATTTTAAATTTTACTTCAAAATCAACTGGGTTTAGGTGTCACTTACTTTGCGAATACCAAAGCAAATTGATCTGATTTAGACTTGTGTTAGAGATGTAAAGTATTGTTTTGCCATGGTCTTATTGGTGGTACTTGGTTAGCGTTTACTGCTGCTTTTGTAGTTTTTTAGCTAAATAATCAGAGAGAAAAGCTCTCTTGTGGATGAAAAGTGTTAAATTCTTAAGTTCAAGCGATTAAGGAAAGACAATAAATGTTTTTGACCATGCAGTGATAAATAAAGATGTAATTATCAGCCTAACAAAAAATTGATACATCTCTACTTTTAACAAGAAGCGTCACATCCGCAGGGGTGTGACGCGTTTTGCGCGTGCGTGGGACCGGCGTTGCCCGTGTCGCTGTATGCGAGGGATACGTACCAACCGTCTGCGAAACTAGGTAGTATTGTCGCCAGGTAGATTTTATGACGAGCCAGGAGAGCCTGCGAGGCCTTATGGGTGCCCTGTTATCCTGACATACAAGGTGGCAGCAGCATTGTGGAGTAGGAAGTGTCTGTGACTTGTTTTCATGCATTGGCGGGAGCCCTCTTATGGCATCTCACTTTGATTGCTGTGTGATCTGCTACTGTATTGTCCGTTGGGATTGCGGTGTAAATAAAGGGTGGTGTTAGAAAGACTTGCTTATTAGTATGCACTGTTTGGTGCGCTGGGCTCAACATGTGATGCTAAACTTTTGGTTATGTCTGGCCATATAATGCACATGCAGCTGGGTGGTGAACATGTGTCTTGGAAATGTTGAGGATGTTGGGGTTTTTTGATCATGAAGTCATGTGCACAATAAGAATTTTTGAATAAGAAAGGAAGTTGCCTGAATCATAGCCAATTTCTAAAATGTGCATGGCAATAGAATTTGGTGGTGGGTATGCTGGCTTGTTAGCAAGTGTGGATTTTCTGTGTGCCTGTGAAAGCATGCCTCCATTCCTTGTGCATGAAGGAAATACATATGCAGTACACCATGCTATAAAAACATATGTGAACATGACAAGTGTGTGGCAGGTGGTCATGAAAAAATATGTTGTTGACATATGGTTTTACATCTCGGCACTGACATGCAATCTCAATGTTCATAGCGATCGTTCTCCTTTGTGAGGGATGTGTCATGGCGATTGGCACGTGTTGTGCATTGTTTTAGTATATACATGTGTGTCATGATGGAATTGTCATGATTATGTTCAAATATGGCAAAGGTAGTTCTCTAAACAATTATTGGAGAGATAAATAGCCAGTTCCCAACTCTCCTCTAGCCTCCTCAAACCCCCTTAAAACTAATCTGATTGTTCTTGTGCCTTTTCCAAACTCCATCAATATTTTCAAAACTTGCAGCTAACCTCCTCAAGCTTCCTGTGAAATGGAAGGTGTTTTTTTACAGGATTTGGGAGGTTTGATACCTGTTAGTCATGAAGCTTATTTATATGTTTTTTGGTGCTCCATTTATTGCCATTTATCAGGATTTATGTCAGATCAGTGCAGGGAGGTTTTTTAAAGTAATTTTTGTGTGTTAGATTTCAGTGCTCATTATAGCTCATTTATTATTTTCAAATACTTTTTTCATGAAGCACAACATCAAATGTCAGTTGTCATAAGTGTACCGAAGCTGTTTGGTGAAAATGCATGCAGGCAGGTGATGCCTCCTCTAAAATAGTTCCCCTGGCAGCAGATTTTGGCAATGTTCCATCTTCTCCCAATCTCATCTCATCACTCTGGAGAAGTGACAGAACAGACACTCATGCTAGCTATCATAAAAATATGTGCGCATAACCAATTTCTCTGTGGCATGTTCTGCGCTGTCTGTCACCTGTGAAATACGATGAAAAGTAGATGACAAGAGACTTAGTTAAAGCTTTTGCTTTGACAGATTTCTGGAGTCAGTATACAGACCAATAAATGGTTTTTATATAAGTCTTGACCCTACCAGCAGGTTATGGTAACCAGTAACAGTATACATCCTTCTGTGTCAACCAAGAATTTGCACTGGTCTTTGCATGCTAAAATGCTCAGCACAGGTCATCCATTCCCTGGATGTCATGAGACATTTAGCATAGGAACCACCAGTGAGAAAAGGCCATCCCCATAATAAGATGAATATAAGATGAATAAACAGTGATCACAGTGATCCCCAACCCATCCTGCCATAGGTGGGTGAATCAGAAGACTGGAGATTTAACCAACTGAACTACTGGGATGGACTATTAGTGAAAATGAATACCTAGACTATTGATTGGTAGCATGTAACAAAATAATGTAGTTGAGTAGTAATGGAGTGTGATTGATAAAACACTACTTTGAAGAAATGCATATGAGCAAACTATACCCCTGGGTTGTGCCTCATTGTTGATGCTTGGTAGTTGATGGATGATTGTCACCATTGGTGTCAATGCATGTTGTATTTTGCATGTGGATCATCATTAATACAAATTAAAACTATGTTTAGATAAGACTAGTTATGTACCAGGCTTGTTTGTGCCATGCCATGTCACTAATATTGATATACATGGTTGAAGACCTATTATGTGGAAGTTGTCTGTTGCAAATGGATGTGAACTCCCATATTATGGCCTTATTAAGGCTATGTTGCAGCTAAAAAGACATGGAAACATTGCTTTGACATATGCTTATCAGAGTGGCACACTAAATCATTGCAGCTCTTCACATAGATTCTGTGCCATTTTCTAGTAGTCAATTTAGTAAGTTGTGCAAGGAGATATTTACAATGCATTAAGAACATGTTGGATCTAACTGGATGATAGAAGATGCATGCTTGGTTAATGGGTATGAGAACAGTGAATATGAATGTTGAAGTGAGGTTGTCAAGCCCCTTGCCATTTCTTATCAGGTGGGGGTTTGAGTAGAGTGTAATGCATACCAGTAAGGAACACTGGTGACAGGCCACTGGCCAATCAGCTGAGAACAGCAAAACAGTCACAAATTCTTTACTTTTCAGGCATTTTGGACTTAATGGATTTTAGCCATGCCACATTTATGACAGTTGTATTCATGAAAAGAACAATACAGGTGCATTGCAACAGGTCGTGATGAACTGAGAGGATCACATCATGTCTTAACCAGGACCAAGGGATGTGATCAGCATTGTTTTGTCAGTATGCAAGCCTCATTCACTTTGAGAGCCACACAATTTATTACTGAATTTTACACTTCTTTATCTTGATAGTTGTGCTATGTTCTGATAGCCACTTGGTTAGGACACATGCCCCGTGATTCACCCACCTGGAGTGGTGCTATTTTGACTTCTTGTGGGAGCTTACTGTTTGCCATGAGCAAGTGTGGCCTGCCACCTGTAGTCTACACTAATGGTCATGTGTCATTAGAGGGCAGGATGACCCATGCTGAGTATTGCAGGACACTCAACCCTTGTGGTAGAATGCTGCTGTTCACCTTGAATTGTGCAATCTGATAGTGCAAGAACTAGCTACCAGGCCATAAGGTGTTGTCCCCCTTCACATCAGCATAATTACATCATATTGTAGGTGTGTCCATTGCAGTTGCTTTGAATGACAGATGCATCATCAATCGCCTCTATTGGTTATCACAATTATGACCTTTTTCTCAGGGAATGGAGAATTTATGCCATTGTATTAACTTATAGCAGTGCTTGGATGGTTTGTGTGCACGTTCATCAGGTGTTGAGTACATTTTACATATTTGCTCATGCTGTGATAGCAAGTAACACTTCAGTGCTATGGGAGGTCATTAAGCTCTTCTGAGCCACTTAAGTATCCAGAGTTCTGTTTTGACTTTTCTGGGCTATGCCACCACTTACATGCACACAGACATGAGCACAGCTACAGTTGCATGGTAGTTATGAAATGTTTGTGTGTGATACTTCTACTGCAAATGGCATACATTGACCTGGGAGGTTACTGATGAAAATACATGTGTGTATGCACATGTATGTCAGAAGGTAGCCTTCAATCTGCATGAAGTTGTTCACTGCATGCCATAGCTGCTACTGCACTATGTTGTGGCTGGTGCATTATAAATGCATTAGCATTCAGGAGTACTTTAATCTTTGTGCATGACATGGCCTGATAGGTAAGGTTTTAGTGCTAGGGTGAAAATGAGATGTCGTTGGGAAGGGGGTTGGGATGAAAAAACAATTCACGGTTATTGGTGTCATTGCACTATCTCAAGTAAGAAATATTGTGGATGGAAAGCTTTAAAACAGCCTTACCACAAGTGTGATCTAGGATCTGGATTTTAAGGGTTTGACCATAAGTTGATATCCTAGCAGCCACACTGCAGGTGGTTGACTACCCAGTCTGGTTATTAATGATGGGGTCTTGTAGCTAAAGGTATGACACCTCCACCACTCATTGATCCATTGCTTTGTCAATTTTATGATCTGTTGATCCATATTCTGTGTTGGTAGCTGTCTCATTCAGTTACTTGTGAGGGCATCAGGCATGTCTGTGATTGTATGTTGTATGTCAGGCTGGTTGGGGATGGATTCTTCTGAGTTTCTGTGTCTGGTTTTTATGTATGTACACTCTATTTTTTTACACTTTTTAATAGGAAGCATTGTGAGCTAACAAATGTGTATTTTTCACACCTCTTAATAGAAAGCATTGTGAGCTAACAAATGTGTTTTGCCACTATTTTCAGATTGCAACCTGGCTGTGGAAACTATTAGTGAGAAGATATATCAAACCACAGATATGGATATGGGTATGTGGATTTTTTGTCCGTTTTTTTCCAGGAATGCTTCAAAGCTGTACATGACAGACTGAACCAAGCTTTGTAACATTCCCACTCCCTGAAATACATTACCTCATTTTTACCTCATAACAGTGACTTTCCGACTTTTTCACAACCAATAATGAAAGTTTGAGAGCCTCTGGCCTAGCCCGCAGTTTCTCAGTGTGGAAATCCCGACGATCTAGCCGAGTGGGGCCCCGGCCAGCGGCCGACCTTGCGGCGGCGGCGTGCGTGACCGGGCCGCGTGCGTTGCAGGCCCGGAGGGCAAGCGGCCGGCGCCGATGGGCGACCCGTTCGGCGCGCAGCTGGCTGCCATCCGCGACAACGGCGCCGGCGCGCTGGGCCTGGGCGGCGTCGAGTCGGAGGACATGACCGTGCCCGATCGGATGGTGGGGCTCATCATCGGCCGCGGCGGCGAGTCCATCAGCCGGCTGCAGGCCGAGTCGGGCGCCAAGATCCAGATGTCGCCGCAGGCCATGGAGATGAGCAACGAGCGGCTCTGCTCGCTGACCGGGCCGCGCGCCGCCATCGAGCGCGCCAAGGAGCTCATCAACGCTATCGTGGCGTCGCGCGCCAACGAGCGCGACCGCGACCGCATGATGGGCGGCGGCGGCGGCATGAGCGACATGATGGTGGGCGGTGGTGACCAGCCCGGCCAGACCACCACCGAGATTATCGTGCCCAGCTCCAAGGTCGGACTCATCATCGGTGAGCAGCGCTCCGCGCCGGGGGAGGGAGGGGAAGAGCGCCGACGCAGTGCATTTGGACTGCACCAGGTGACGGGGCATTGCGTCTGCAAGGTCTGCATATTCTCTAGGGCCTTTGATTATTATGACAACTTGGACAATGGCCAGCGGATGATGTGACGTCGGCAGCCGTCCTCCCCAAGTCCCCACCGTCATCGATGGGTGCCGCGGGGCGTCTTGAACGGGCATCGCCGTGACCTTGCCGGCGCCTGGCGATGGCGCCTGCCCTGTGCGATGACGCCGCTGAATGCGTCTCCGCTTGGCAGGTAAAGGCGGAGAGACCATTAAACAGCTGCAGGACAAGAGCGGCTCGAAGATGGTGGTCATTCAGGACGGCATCTACGCGAACGCTCCGGAGAAACCGCTCCGGATCAGTGGAGACACCAAGCAGATCGAGGTACCGGCGCCGCCGCCAGCAGACGGACGTCACGGGCTGATGGGCCCACGGGGCGCGCGGCATTTGCGGACCGTAGTTGTCCGTCACGCACGGCTCGTATGTGTGCACTTAACGGTATCTGATTAACCGATGTCTGCTTTCACCGCGTGTGAGTTATGACCCTTCGATGTTTTGTTTTCTTCTTGCTTCGTTGTATCATGTACTGTTAAGCGCGTTGGCACTTTGCGGCTTCGGTAACGCGGCGACGCACGTGTGCGTAACGCGCGATTGTATTTCGACAGCACGCTAAGCAGCTCGTGTTTGAGCTGATGGCCGAAAAGGACAACTTCGGCCCTCCCGGTGGCAGGATGGGCAGCTTTGGTGGCGGAGGCCGCGGCTTCGGAGGAGGAACGACCGCCGAGGTATGTCAGTCGGTGGCGGCCGCTCCGCTCTCGTGATGTGCGGGGTACGCCAGCTGGACGCCCACACTTTTCAAGTAGATGACCAGAAATGATGCCCAGTAGGCAGTGCTGTTCGAAGTTAGTCATTCCTCGCAGTTGGACAGCCCAATGCCTCGTGTATGGCACATTATATATATATATATATATATATATATATATATATATATATATATATATATACAATCAGCCACTTCGCCATGTTGAAGCATGTGGCGACCTTCTCGTGGTCCATTGCTTCCGGATTTGTCTTCGTCGTTTCCTTTTTCGCGATGTTAAGGAGACGCCGTAGTTGTTCAGATTAAGATGACTAGATTGCTTTTGAAAGTTAAGATGTCAAGAAAGTCTACATGGCAATGTATGCAAGGGAATAAGTTCCAAAAGTATGTAGTGCGTCCAAATCGCGTTCGGAGCCTGCCGTCGCGGTGTTGTGCGGCGCGGCACCGGACCGGGTCAGCCGGCCAGCCGCCCGCCGCTCCCGTTCATGACAGCTCTCCGTATCAGGGCGGCGGCGCGGCTGCGTTGCAGATCACCGTGCCGCAGGCGGCCGTGGGCGTGGTGATCGGCAAGGGCGGCGAGATGATCAAGAAGATCCAGAACGACACGGGCGCCAACATCCAGTTCCAGCAGAACATCAGCGGCCGCAACGAGCGCACGGCGGCCGTCAGCGGCGCGCCCGACCAGATCGAGCACGCCAAGGTCATCATCCAGGAGCTGATCGAGAGCGTGATGAAGCGCGACCAGCAGATGGGCGGCTTCGGCGGCGGCCGCAACGGCAGCTGGGGCGGCGGCGGCGGCGGCGGCTTCGGTCGCGGGCCGATGGGCCGCGACGGCAAGCAGGAGATCAGCTTCCCCGTGCCGGCCAACAAGTGCGGCATCGTCATCGGCAAGGGCGGCGAGACCATCAAGGCCATCAACGTGCAGTCGGGCGCGCACTGCGAGCTTGACCGCCGGCCGCCGCCCAACCCCAACGAGAAGATCTTCCTGGTGAAGGGCAGTCCCGACCAGGTGGAGCACGCCAAGCGACTCATCTGTGAAAAAGTCGGCATTGTAAGTGGCTTGCTCGTGATATCGGCCGAAACAGGCCACGGATATTTTGATAGCGAACGTTGTCAGTGTGTTTGTGTGGCTTTAGTGGGGTATCGCGCCCGCTACCCTACGTGGTGTTTGCGATGATTTTAGATTGCTGGCCTTGTCACATGAAGGATTAACTGCGTCTGGGAACACTGGCTGTTCAGTTATGCGATGGAGCGGTTCATTCCATTTTCGTGTCTGTAATGCTTGCAGTTGATTTTTAACCGTACATCATTCCAGTAAGCTTTGCATTGTTTTTTTCAACTTGAATTGTGGAGGTCTACGTTTGGAAAAACGTCCATCTGTGATATCCATTAAGTTGCATGCAAAGTGAACACTGGTGCGTCTTATGACGGCGTCTCATTTTCAGACGTACGGTCCTGGTGGTCCTGGAGGACCGGGCGGTCCGTTTGGCGGTCCTGGGGGCCCTCCAGGTGGCCCAGGAGGTCCCGGCGGACCCGGGGGATACCAGCCACAGGGCTGGGCCAACAACTTCCAGAATCCGGGCGTGTGGGGACAGCAGCAGAACGACCCTGTCAAGCAGGAGAGCAATTGGAACAGCTACTATCCGCAATACTACGGCGGGCAGGGTGGCCAGGCGCCAGGCGGCGGCGGCCAGCAGCCCCAGAGCTCGTCAGGTTAGTGACAGTGGAGGGGCAGGGGCAGAGGCAGAGGCAGCCCCAGAGATTGTCAGGTCAGTGACAGTGGAGGGGCAGGGGCAGAGGCAGAGGCAGGCCCAGAGATTGTCAGGTCAGTGACAGTGGAGGGGCAGGGGCAGAGGCAGAGGCAGGCCCAGAGATTGTCAGGTCAGTGACAGTGGAGGGGCAGAGGCAGAGGCAGGCTCAGAGATTGTCAGGTCAGTGACAGTGGAGGGGCAGGGGCAGAGGCAGAGGCAGGCCCAGAGATTGTCAGGTCAGTGACAGTGGAGGGTCAGAGGCAGGGGCAGAGGCAGGCCCAGAGATTGTCAGGTCAGTGACAGTGGAGGGGCAGGGGCAGAGGCAGAGGCAGGCCCAGAGATTGTCAGGTCAGTGACAGTGGAGGGGCAGGGGCAGAGGCAGAGGCAGGCCCAGAGATTGTCAGGTCAGTGACAGTGGAGGGGCAGGGGCAGAGGCAGAGGCAGGCCCAGAGATTGTCAGGTCAGTGACAGTGGAGGGTCAGAGGCAGGGGCAGAGGCAGGCCCAGAGATTGTCAGGTCAGTGACAGTGGAGGGGCAGGGGCAGAGGCAGAGGCAGGCCCAGAGATTGTCAGGTCAGTGACAGTGGAGGGGCAGGGGCAGAGGCAGAGGCAGGCCCAGAGATTGTCAGGTCAGTGACAGTGGAGGGGCAGAGGCAGAGGCAGGCCCAGAGATTGTCAGGTCAGTGACAGTGGAGGGGCAGGGGCAGAGGCAGAGGCAGGCCCAGAGATTGTCAGGTCAGTGGTGGGGCAGTCCCAGGGCTCGTGAGGTCAGTGACAGTGGAGGGGCAGGGGCAGAGGCAGAGGCAGGCCCAGAGATTGTCAGGTCAGTGACAGTGGAGGGGCAGGGGCAGAGGCAGAGGCAGGCCCAGAGATTGTCAGGTCAGTGGTGGGGCAGTCCCAGGGCTCGTGAGGTCAGTGACAGTGGAGGGGCAGGGGCAGAGGCAGAGGCAGGCCCAGAGATTGTCAGGTCAGTGGTGGGGCAGTCCCAGGGCTCGTGAGGTCAGTGACAGGGCAGCCCCAGAGCTAGTCAGGTCAGTGACAGTGGAGGAGCAGAGGCAGAGGCAGACCCAGGGACTGTCAGGTCAATCAGGTCAGTGGCGGGGCAGTCCCAGGGCTCGTGAGGTCAGTGGTAGGGCAGCCCGAGAGCCAGTCAGGTCATTGGTGGGACAACCTTAGCTCGTCGACCAGTGACGTACGGACAGGGGGAGGGGCATCGAAAGCTGGTGGGTTTGTGCCGTTGGCGTCCCCCAAAACAGCAACAAGTCCAGATGAGTGAGGTGATACTGTGAGTGATAGTGATGCTATTGGGTGAGAGCTGAGATAGCCAACTGGCGTGTTGTAGTTTGGCAGTCCTACTCCAGTCAGGCACGTGGTCACGTGACATGGTGGCCACGGTATGGGAGCATGCACCGCATCTCGTAATCATCTTGCGTGGGTCGGTAGGTAGGTTTTCGTAATCTGATACCTACGTTATGGTCGATGCCGTCCCTTATCTGCTATATTTTCGCGTGCAGTAGCAAGGTTTGTCAGTCACGCGACCGGTGCCTATACCCGGACCTGCTTCGAAGCTTTCGGCGCCTTTCGCATGGTTAAATGTTAAAAAAAAACAGATTTTTCATGGGTTTGGTACCACCTCTTTTGGATTCCACACCAATGTACCAGACCACAGCTTATGAAACCAAAGGAAGCTCGCGCACGTGATCTACCCAGCTCTGCTTAAGTTTGATGGCTGGTTGGCTATGCCAAAATGACCTACGCGACCTTTCATATGTCAGCAAAGTAAGCTGATAAAAAACATGTTTTCATTTGCGTCCAAAAAGTAAAGTGGTAGGGTTCATCATAATCTTAGCGAAAACGACAGTTTGGATGACTGCTCTCAGTCTTTGTTATGTTGCTGTACTAAAACCCGTGCTAACGTCGCCTGGAAGGATTCTGTTGTGATCGACGCACTGAGACCTTTTACGTCCAGCAGTAATGACTGTCTCTTCGACTCGTCATAGGACGTGTTTTTTTTCTTTTAAGTCAGTTGCACTTCAAGTGCAAGATTTCAACCGATGTTGCATTGACTTTCAGTGAGCTTTTGTGACCCAATGAGCCAAGTGCACGGACAATGACAGTGTTCATTGTGTGTGTAGTTTACACCTTCAGTACCACAAGACAAGAACACGTAGGACAGGCGGAGCTAAGGCTGTTTTACGGCGCATCAATTTCGCTTATGTCGCCTTCCAGGCTTATGGGGACGAGGTCATATGTCAGTGATCGGACGTGTGGGAACGTTGAGGGTACATGCGGTGGAGAGGGTCGGAAACTCCGCTCTCACCTGTCCCAAATTTCGGCATGATGTGTTCCGCGGCTTCGCCGGTGTTCTTTGAAGGTGAAGGTGCGGTCTTTGATCAGCCTGTCACCGCTTTGATTTAAGCATATTCTCTTTTTCTTTTCCGCGCCATCCTGTTTTGCCTACCGTGTCCTGAAGCCTCGGCAACTATGGCTGCTCCATCTTTGCGAGGATTACGAGTCATGTAATAATAATCGCCGTAGCAGGGATCATCCCGTTGGCGGAAGAAATGGTGGGACGTTTTCCGTTGGCCACTCCGCTGAATGATGACTGTGTGCACACGAGCGGAAGACTGCGTTGCCGACTACAGCCTCGGTTTGTTCATGCGTAGATGAATTATAAATCTCGTTTAAGTCTTGTATTAGACACATTTGCGAGGTGTGTAAGGTTTCCCTTGAAAATGCCCGGTCCCAAATTCAATGTCGAATGCGTCATCAAGTAAAGCCAGAATCATCGCCGCCGTTTCTGATCTAGGCGGGTACCGTGCGCAGCGGCGTGCCCATCAGCGTGCTGCGCGCGGCCGGTGTGGCGGCGGACGCGGCCGCCGTCACAGCTCCGGTGACGACGTCTGGCCGCTCACGTGGGCTCGCTCCGTCCGCAGCGGCCGCGTCCAGCGTGAATCCGCAGACGGGCCAGCCGGACTACAGCGCGCAGTGGGCCGAGTACTACCGCAACATGGGCATGGTGCGCGAGGCGGAGGCGATCGAGCAGCAGAGCAAGCTGAAGACGGCCGGCAGCGGGCCGGGCGGACCCCCGGCCGCCGCCGCCGCCGCCGCCGGGGCGCCGGCCGCCAACGGGGCGCAGGCCGACTACAGCGCCCAGTGGGTGGAGTACTACCGCTCGCAGGGCATGATGGACGAGGCCGAGAAGCTGGAGCAGCAGATCAAAGTCTCCAAGGTATGTATCGAGGATACGCGACGGCAGAGGGGGGGGGGGGGGGAGGGGCGATGGATAGCAGCATGAAGCCTGGCAGCTGCGGCTGGTAAGGCGAAGGCTGCCGAAGCCCGACTGGGACCCAGTGCTGTGCTGGCAACACGTTTCAGGGGCTGGTATTAAATATCATTCCTGCGGGGGGCGTGCGGCGTGTCTGTGTGGCACACTGACCACTTGGTGGCCCCACGTCCGTTCTGCCCGTGTGGGGCCGCCATGCGCAGTACTCTGACTAGGTCCGTAGCGTGCCGCTTCACCGGGGGGGGGGGGGGGGGGGGGCGGGGCACTGTACGACCAGCTGGCTCCGCAGTGCACGGGGTCCCCGCGCGCGCCCACCGCTGACCGCTGCCCCCCGCCGCGTGTGTGCAGCAGCAGTCGGCGGCGCCCGCCTCGTCGGCCGCTGGCGGAGCCCCCGGCGGCTACCAGCCGCAACAATACAACTTCGCCAGCGGCTACGGTGCGGGCACGCCGGGCGGCTACGGACAGTACGGCGCGTACCCGGGCGCGGGAGACAACTAGCGCCCGCCGCCGTCTCGGCGCTGTCGTGACGCGTGTCTGTAGTGTCGGTGAGTACTCGGCCGCCGGCGCCGGGCCGCGCCCGCAGGACCAGTTCCATCCTAGTCGTGGCCACCGCCCGGGCGCAGCGGCGGCCGGCGGCGTTTCTCGCTGACTGTCCGCGGCGTAGAGGGTGACCCTCGCAGGCCTGGCGCCCGCGCATGTGGGGGCAACGCGCGCGCACGATGTCAGAACCGGCTCAGATGCATTGTGTGACATGGTTTCGACGGTTCCAATGGCGTAGGTGTTGGGTGTTCTCTCGCCGAAGTCGTGTTGTAGTGGGCTATGGAGGATCGACAATAATCCGCCAGCCGTCAGACGCCTCACTGAGTCGCCGTCCACGGCCGCCGTTTGTAAACGTGTTCCCTCTGCTTTCAGATACCCGATGTGCCCTGTTCAATGAGTACATTGTCTACCAGTTGTTTTGTTGGTGTATGATTTCCGCTGCTATTCACTCATCCATCTACAAGGGCCGGCGCGCCGGCCGGCGCTCGTGTCGGGCTGCGGCTCTCCCACTCGTGTGCGTGTTTTAATTCGTTGTATGAGGCCGGCCGTGGGCCGCTCCGCTCCGAGCGGCCTCGTGTTCCTTCGCCGCTCACTAAGCTCACGCCCGGCGGCGGCGGACGGGCGCGGCGCGGACGGCGCGCGCGCGCGCGGCGCCGGCCGCCGGCTCTCTCTGCCCCCCTCTCTGTCGTGTATTGTCTGCCACGCGCCGTAGGTGGGGCGCGCCCTCTGTGCGGGTCATTGTGGGCTGGGCGGAAGCGGCTGTCAGGTGCCAACTGATGCGTTTTAAATCTTTGACTCGATCTCCACAGTGCAGTGTCGTTCTTGAAATTGTATGCCATCACTAGTGAATTTGCATTTCAGTGGTCAATATTTGATTTGTCGTGCTTACTGTGGGATTTGCCTTGAATCTCTTGACGTGTGAGGCGATGTTGAAATTGCTTATCGTATAGCTATGTCCCGTCATGTGCATTGTGGTGCTTATATTACACGACCAAAATATCGACGCCAACTACGAGGGGCAAATCGTCCCTTCACATCTAATACGCCTAGCGTACAAATGACGCGTATCTGCGAGGCATTACAGTTGTCTGCCTCACATTGTTAGTGTTGAATAAGTAAAATGCGTACAAAGTAGCAATTCGAACGTCATCACCTTTGCTATTGAGTGCGGCCGTAGTTCGTCCATGCGCATACGGCGCGCCGTGTTGCAGTGTTCCACATGTAGAGCGTACACGCCGGTTGGGGTGGTCAAACTGTCGCAGTGTTGCATGCCTTCCTCCGACGAGAGGCCGTGCGTACCTGAACTTGGAGAGCGGCCATCGTGATTTGTCCATGCTGAGTAGAGCGTGCAGCGTAAAATGTGTCCCAGCATATACTTGAGTGTTGTTGATAATATTTTCCTCGTATATCCCTAGCAAAAATCGTCACGTGCCAGGTTCTCATTGCATAGACGTTGATTTTGCATCGTGCTCGCCTGTCAGTTCAGTTGTATGAACGGGGTCGGTTTTGTTCTGTTTTGGATAGCTGTTTCACAAGTCGTCACCCCGCCCCCTATATGTCACCCAGTGTTATTTGCCGCCGCATTAGTGTGTCCACGGTGGAGAGCGCCTCGCCCGCCTCAACTTTGTCTTTGGATAACATGTCGTATATGAACTTGCATATTGGGTATTTTTGATCAATGCGTAGCGTGACGATATTGGATTTTAACTCAGGGTTTCGATTGTTCGGAGCCGCCGTTCTGCCGGGCCGCGGCGCGACACGCCGGGTGATATAGTGGGCGGCGGGCAGGGGCGCCGTCCCGCGGCCCGGGCGGCGCCCCGCTCGGCCCCTTCGAGCCTGCCTACTTACCGTGCGGAGGGAGAGGGACGAGCGAGCGAACGAGCGCAGTGCCGTATCTAATGTGCGTGGTGATCCTGTGCATGTCGAAACTAGCGATTGGCACCTGACAGCCGCAGCCCCGGGGTCTTCTATGAGGTACTAGTTCGGGTCTTAGTGTGTGCTTAAGTTGATAACGACGTAGTGACGACATCCGTGCGTGTTGTGTTTTTGGACCGTTTTTCTAAGTCTTTCATACGGAAAATTTATGTGCTGTCATCCGTTCGATGTAGTTGTGACCAGGCGGCCGCGGGTCCGCTCGCCAGCCCCCGAAGACGTCTCTAATAAAGCTCACTGTCCGCCGAGGCGCTGTGTCTGGCCACCGAGACGGACGGACGGACACGGCGCGCGACGAACGCTCAGTGTTGTACGCCCGCACCATATGGAAACAAAATACAGCTGTACGGAGTGGTTCGCGGCTGTCGCGTGTGGTGCTCGTCCCCAGCCGGCGGCTCGTCCAAACACGGCGCGTTCACGTGCGGCGGTGCTGTATTGGTGCGCCAACACCACTCGCCATCTCAACGTCACCACCTCACTGATGCCACCCCGGCGTGTGCTCACAGCGAGGGGCGGTCACGTGGTCGTCACTGTACTGATACACCGCTGACACGGCGCTGTGGTACCAGATGTACTCGCGACAGAGAGCGGCCACCAGGTCTATGCTGTGGCGCCAGATGTACTCGCGACAGAGAGCGGCCACAGTCTTTGCTTTGGCACCGGATGTACTCACGACAGAGAGCGGCCACTAGATCAATGCTGTGGCGCCAGATGTACTCACGACAGAGAGCGGCCACCAGGTCGACGCCGCAGTGGTACACTGCCGCTGTAACGCCGTGACGCCAGACGCATTCCTCACAGAGCACACCGTAGCATCACATGCAGCCGGGGTAGTGCAGCCGTGGTGTCAGATATACTCGCGGCAGAGCGCGGCCATGTGGTCGACGCCGCACGCCACCTTGGTCACGCGCGCCGGAATGGAGACCCGCAGAGGGAAGAGCCGGTCCTCTGTGTGGCCCAGGCCCAGCGCGCCGTGCTGGTTGTGGCCCCAGGTGAAGAGGTCGCCGGCGCTCGTGGTCACGGCCAGATGGTACAGGCCCGACACCACCGACACGGGCACGCTGTCTGCCGGCGGAGAGGCGCGCCACGTCACCGGTGCACGCCACAGTTTACTTCAAGGCTGACCGCCACTCACGCCGTGCCGCCCGCGCACGACTGTGGGGGGGGGGGGGGGGGTCGCCGCCTAACGGTCTGACGCAACCGGCAACCGGGCGCGACTACAGTCGTGTCGATTCGGTAGCGGTGCGTGTCGCTGCGCCGCACCCGGATCGTGGGACTGGGATCCCGGGCTTCTATGTCAGCGAGAAAATTGTAGCATTCGGCCCAGGCCGGCGCACTGAAAGAAGCGGACAAAAACAGACCGGCCGGGCTCTGCGGACCGCGGGGTCGTAGTCGGCCGTCGCGGATGTCGCCGCAGGCCGTGCGCGCCGTGTGGCTGCTCACCAGGGCTGAAGTCGTTGCGGCCGAGCAGTGCGGGCGGTATGAGGGACGGCTCCTTCGACACCTCCAGCTCCGGACCCTTGCCGAGCATGCCGTACCCCCACACGTACACCTCGTCCTTGTCTGCGAGGGGTGAGACTGATCAGGCCGGGCATGCCGTAGCCCCCACACGTACACCTCGTCCTTGTCTGCGAGGGGTGAGACTGATCAGGCCGGGCATGCGGTACCCCCACACGTACACCTCGTCCTTATGTGCAAGGGGTGAGACTGATCAGGCCGGGCATGCCGTAGCCCCCACACGTACACCTCATCTGCGAGGGGTGAGACTGATCAGGCCGAGCATGCGGTCCTCCCCCCCCCCCCCCCCACGTACACCCCGTCCTTATGTGTGAGGGGTGAGACTGATTAGGACGGGCATGCCGTACCCCCCACACGTACACCTTCTCATTTGCGAGGGGCGAGACTGATCAGGACCACCCAGCCGAACACAATCCACGAGTGGCATTGTCAGGTAGCTGGTCATGAACACTGAAATCGATGTGGTTGTCACAAGAACTGGTTCGCAAGTGCAGAGTACTGCGAGGCGTTTCATCCCAGCACCCACAGGAAGTACGTCAAACAAGCGCTGGCTGAAACCCGCGGTGTGCAGGCGAGCTGCTTACTGCATCTGAACGGATCTGGATCTGAACCAATGGTGGGCACGTCGGGAGCATGACAGCCAGGTTTGCGATGCCACGGTCTGAACCGTGGGGCGGGTAGAGCGCCGTCCCAGCGGTAAACCTGTTGGCGCCGGTGTCCGCTCGCGGCGAGTGGCAGATGCAGCGCGCTCGGGGCACGTCAGCGCGTGGGCCCCCATTCCCATCTGCAGCGCCGAACTTCCTCGGCAACTTTATGACGGATGTCCGCGTCATGGATTTGCATTGCACACGGAAACTTCTCAGCATTACTGGGTTACCGTGCTGCATCAAAACCGCCCCCTCCCCCCCCCCCCCCGTGGATCGGGACATTCGGGTGGCTTGCACACGGCTCACGACCGGCCACACTTGGCAAGGGCTCGGATCACAACGCAGCTTAAGCGGCCAACTCAGGTAACTTCCCTACAAACCGTGAGGTGCAGTTTTCTGGATCTGCCCTCGGGTTACGTGGCGCGCCACCATCTCGGGTTCCGTGGCGCGCCACCATATCAAAACACTGACGCAGCGGTACTTCATGTTCAAGTGACCGTACAGGTGCCCGTGAGCACTCGATCAACGACGGAGGCGCACGCGCTGTCCGGTGACGACACAGACGTCCACACACTGATAACAAGGGCGCCGACAGCGTGCCTACACTGACCGTTGATGAGGGCGCACATGGTGCCGGCGCTGGCCACGTCCCGCACGCGACCCACGCCCAACGGCAGGCGACGCGCCACGCCCAGCTGCTGCTCGTCCGTCACAGAGCCCAGCTGGCCGTATTCGCTGTTGCCCCAGCCGAAGACGTCGCCGCTCTCTGTCGACCGCAGGACCGGCGACGGCGTTATCACGCGCCGCCAGCTACAGCCGGGACGACACCGGTACAGCACCGGCCGTGTGACTGGGTGGACCAGCGGCGAAATCGGGAAGCAGGCGGCTCTATTAATGGCCCAGCGGCTCCATCACGCCGTTTGGACGAAGCCAGTCCTGCTGGTCAGACCGGAGAGTAAAGTGCTCTTCACCACACGCTTATTACACCGTCGTAGCTCAACTCTCACAATGAGTGACCTGTAACCTGCACTAACACACAACTCGCATGGGCATTCAGCGGCGTGCCGTGGAGCCTAGAGGATGCCTGATTGCGGCCGATATCGACCGCCGACAAGGCCGGCCGCCCGCCTACGCGCACCGCACCGAGCGGGGACGCGGCTGGCCAGGTAGCGCCGCGCCGCGCTGCCCCCTCCACTTCCGCCTCTCACCGCTGACGGCGAGCACGCAGTCGGCCGAGCAGGCCACCCGGACGATCCGCTCGCCCTCCACGTCGCCGACCACCGGCCGCGGCTCCCAGGTGCTGGCGAACCCGCCGCGGCCCGTCTGGCCGTCCGTGCCCCAGCCGCACGACAGCACGCGCCCGGACTCGGTCACCATCAGCCTGCAACGCCGCCGTGTACTCTCAGTCACAGCCGCACGACAGCACGTGGTCGGATTCGGTCACCATCAGCCTGGAGCGCCGCCGTACAGTCTCAGGCACGGCATAAGGCGGAGCCGAAATAGCTGATGTAATTTGATGTCAATTGCGTTGAATCTAACGAGCTGGTCGCATTTTCGTTCCCTGAGTCTCTGGCACGATCGCCAGCACTTCCGATGTTTTTGGTCACCAGAAATGGGATTATCGGCGAGCAGACGCTCATTCCGAGCCCTAACAACAAACAACACGATTTCGGGAGGAAGCAAAAAAACTTGCAATATGTAACCAAGATCCCCAATGATACATTCTTGCAATTAAATCTAACGCCACTGATACCGAGAACCTCGATTAACTTGAATGCGTTATTTTAGTGGTCAAGCGTCAATAAGCAGCGATTTTGGAGCTCATGGCCACAGCGTACTTGTTCCATATGACGCGCAAGGAGTAACTGCAAACAGCTGTGAGCCTTACAGAGCACAACAAAATCATGTGTCAAAAGTAATTACGTACCGAACGTCCCCTACCACGCCTGCTTGAAGATTAGGACTGTACTCGATTATGCAGCATAGTTGCCCACGGTAAACCAACAAGCGGCCTATTGCAGCTATAAGCCCGGCGTGCTGTAGGCGGGACTGACATGTTTTCCAGCGTGCTGTAGGCGGGCCTCACGTGTGCTGTACGCGGGACTCACCGTGTGCTCCACCGGGCTGTAGGCGGGACTGACGTGTGCTCCAGCATGCTATAGGCGGGAATGACATGTGCTCCAACGTGCTGAAGGCGGGAGTGACGTGTGCTCCAGCATGCTGTTGGCGGTACTGATATGTGTTCCAGCATGTTTTTTTGCATTAGAGCCCTTTCGACCAGAAATGATCAGTTCAGGGCTATGGGATGAAGGAAAATGGTTAAAGGTGGAGCAGACTCGCATGCGCCTGGGGGGGGGGGGGCAACCGCCGGGCTTCACCCCGCGCATACGCGCTGGGTACCCGGTCGGGGTCCCCCCTCCCACGGGGCTCTCAGCCCGCTCGTGGCTGACGCATGCAGCCTGCCCCGGACAGTCGAGGTGTCGCAAGGATGCAGGATGAAGCAAGATACGAGAATACGAGGGACGAATGTATCGTGTTCCTGCATGCTGTGGGCGGGAATGACATGTAGTCCAGCGTGCTGTAGGCGGGACTGACGTGTGCCCCAGCGTGCTGTAGGCGGGACTCGTGTGCTCCAGCGTGTTGTGAGCGGGGCTCACGTATGCTCCAGCGGGACTCACGTGTGGTCCTGGCCGCAGGTGACGTCGCGCACCAGCTCGTCCAGCCGCACGCGGTGCACGGTGGCGCTGCCGCGGTACTCCTCGCGCTCCACCACGCGCCGGCCGCACTGGCCGTACGCGTTATTGCCCAATGTGAACACGGCGCCGCCGTCGGTGACAATGGCCGTGTGGCCTCGGCCGCATGCCACCTGGCGGCAGCCGGACATACCAATAGTGTCACATGTCGGCGCCAGGACGGGACTGACAAGAACGGGCAAGGGGACACGGGACGTCTGAAACCTTGCAAACCTGTCGACCGTAACACGCGACCGACGCCGACGGGACACGCGAGCTTCATTCCACATGCCGACAACCAAACTCCGACGTCAACAGGTACACAGGAGCGGACACGGGTGCCACGGGGTTCAGTGCAACGTCAATGATACTAAGGACCTCGACTAACTCAAATGCGCTATTTCAAAGGCCAACTGTAAATTGTTCCAAGTGCCAAGCAGTGATTTTAAAGTCCATGGCCACAGCATACTGGTTCCACATGACGCGCAAGGAATAATGGCCAACAACTGTGAGATCCACCGGTCGGCGGGCGGGCGGGCAGGTACGCACGGCCGGCGGCTCACCGCATATGGAGGTCAACGAGGAGGAGGTCATATGCAACAAGCGGAGCTATGTACTACACACGTACTCCACAGAAAGCTGGTGCATATATGGTGCCTGTGGGGGCATCTCTTGATTCTGATACCAGTTGGTATATCACTCTGGTCTCAGTGCAGATGTAAATGGCGCATACGGCAAGAAATACGCATGCCACACCCGTCTTTAATATAAGATTATGAGCACCCACAATAGCGCATTCAGGGAACGCAATGCATTGATACAATGTGCTGTTCATGTTTCAGCAAGATCAACTGAGCTCACCCTGGTGACCTTGACCCGTTCGGGGTCGTCCAAGGGCAGCGCAATGGGCACAGGCGCTATGACCCTCTCCAGTGGGTGGCCGGCGCGGGCCTCCTGCAGTCCTGCCCAGCAGAGGGCGGCACATCAAACAGAACCGACGACGAATAGGGACGTATTCTACCACCAGCACATTCTACCCACACGACGAGACGCTGAAGCTTGTGCCACTTTGGGCGCACCAATAGCTGCAGTCATCTTCAACGCTCGCGACATTAGCGGCATTCCGCTTTGCAAGAAGTCAGAATGCCGTGGAGTGATCTGCAGTCAGGATAATCCAATGTATGGAGCAACACTAATTTACTCAAACCATTAAACTAAGCGCTATCCTCTGATGAGAACGAAAACTGATGTTGAAAAAGCCTGCGTTATAACAGGAAAATTAAGCAAGATGGTTATGACATCGGTATCATGCATCTCATCGCATCGCATGTTGCATCGCAATTACGCAATGTTAAGTTTTTGTGCCGAAAATAACCCACCTTCAAAACATCAAGAACAATGGTTGGGAGATGTTACAGGACTGCTCGCCGTTTTTAGCAATTCTCATGGCCGGAGTATAGGTCAACTGATAACTGACACATTGGTCATGTGTCCGAAGTGGTAAAACATGTTATGTAGCCATAACCTTGCGTTGCCAACCATGGGGAACTGATAGGGGACTGATGCATCGCACCGGTATTTACTGCCTTCTCGGTGGGTGCTGACGCAAAAAAAGAATAACAAATACAGCCACGTTGCCGCCTTTAACGTAAACGTTAAGTTGACCGGTAAGGGCAGTGAAAAAGTGTGGGAAACCAAAACGAACGATAGGGATCGGGATATACCTTAGATGTCTACGTGGTGCGCGTGTATCGTAACATATTCTCGGTAGGCTTAATCCCTTACAAGAAATACCACTAGCGACCGCACCGCCGACATAAACATAGCCCCGAATGGTCAATGCCGAGCACAATTAACTATGAGGACACTGGGCACCACGCAATGAGCTCGCAAAACAATCAGCTACCTACCGATCTGTGAGTCGGTGTTGATACCGCATCCGAACACCTTATAGTCGGGCCTATTGACAGCCATGACGGTGAAACCATACCCGCACGCCACATCGGTAACCTGCGAAACATCACGTATGTGAGCCACGCATACCATGCAACACACGAGACGTGCAGTACGACAGAGTGGCGTAACGAGAACGAGCGCTGAGATTCGAAACGGCGTCATGGTACATACTGCGAAAGCGACCTCTACAACCCTCTTTCCCGGGAGTTGGTCGCATCGCCTTTCTGGCTACGTTCCATAAATAGCACCGACGTTTTTTGGTCGCCAGTGAAGTTCATCTACTTTAAGTCCCTACGTCTTAAGTGTTCCGCCGATTCCACATATTCTCAGGCAGTACTTGGCCTCGTGTCACTTCACTCGCTTGTAAGGTGAAATTTAGTATTGAATTCGCTTTTCTAACTAACCTACGCGAGAATAAAATTGTTCTGGTGCAGCCTCTCCGGATTTCCGGGGTTATCTCCCGAAACTTGCCGAGTACGATCACTAGGTTTGGGTTATGTACTGGGCTTTATCACCTGTTTGTGGCAGAACTGTAGGTTTCAACCAACATGATAGGGCAACCACATATTGTCTCGCACCCATGGGTTCACCCGACAAAAAAGTGGAAAATCGGTGCTATGCTGAGCATTCTCGCCACTGCACACCTTGCGTCGCTATATTTGGTGGCTCCGAAGTGGTTATGCAAGGTACGTCAGAGTGGTTATGCAAAAGTCATTTCCAGCCAGCACGACGTCAGGTCCAATCGTAAAGGATACATCAAATGAACACCAAGACCCATATCATACCATGCCACGTAGAGTACCTTGTTCAGCTCAGCAAACCCCAGCCGCATCGGCCGGTGGAGGTACGCATAGGGCTTCTTCCCGTTTCTAGGTTTCAGCAGATTCTTGTTGCCCAGGGCACCCAACTCAGCATAGCCCCACGTGTAGACACGGTTGTCCGGCCGCGTGGACTCCGATATATACTTGATAACTGAAATAAGATGCAACACAGTCGTTATCACACCAGCCCTACTGGCATGCCGCAGTGCACCTGGTGTGGCCTCACAGCCAGTGTTGCATGGCTGACACGGTCACATATCGGTCTTCACCGGATATTGGTAGAAAGGGTTGTCTAATGCTTCAAATAAACCTGCCAAAATGCCAGGTCATTTTGACTCGCTGGTCACAAGATATGCATGGAGGCGTTTTCAAAACTGGAGCTGAAATTGGTATGCTCTTAGTGCCAGAGCGACCATCATACTACAATACCTATTATCAACATAAACATTTTCCAGACAGCAATGCTTTGTACAATAGTCCTAAAAATTGGGAAATCCCCCCAGCCAATTTGTACAGTGATGAAGTGATTTCAGTCAAAGGTCATTGTTTCAACATCACATATCTGTTTCTAGCTTTTTATTTAGCAAATGTCACCCTTCATGCATTTCCTTCCCAAAGAAAAGGAGGCCAGACTGATTCTCAAGCAATGTCCTTCACTGATGGCTATGAAATTTGAACAGTTCATGACAAATTGAAGTCCCACCAAATCTTCCCTAGTAAACTCACAAACATTTATTCCCTGCATCAAGATTTCTCTGGAATGGTGGTTGGAATTCAAAAGGGGCAAGTGCATGAAAAGTCAGTGTGATCCATTTACAAAAGAAATAAATATAGCACTCATAGCCTTCACCACAATGATGTGCTTAGCCATGTGCCCACATTTACATAACTCAGGCCAGGGCAATTCAAAATGGATTATTGAATCAAGTTTGGGTACATCCATGCAAATAGCATTTGTGACATCACAATTCTTTGAAACTGCAACTTCTCACATGCTGGAGCTGGTAGTGACCATACACAAAACTTTCATATTTGTGGCAAACATACACTGAAAATGTTCCAGCAATGTTCCCAGCATCACATGCATATTCAATACAGAAGTTTTTGCAGCCCTAAGTATAATCTTCTGTACTTTTGCTGCACATTGTTAAAGAAGGATAATGCAAGGGCAGGGGTGTTATTCTATTTAAATGATTTGCACTAAAGGGCACAATGACTGCCTTTATCACATGCTCCTAATCAGGGTGTAATTCCAACAAAATATGGCAGGTAGCAGCCCTAAGGAGGAAAATGGTCAACAGCCTGACCCCAAGACACACCAAAACATAGCTTATGCCCAGAATTTGCTCCCTTTCCTCTGAAATGCATGGAGATGGAGCTGGAGCTGCCTTCCCCACCCCCCCCCCCCCCCCCCCCAATAAGGAACTGCAACCCAGTGCAAGGGCCTGCACAGAGTACATCATATATGTGGCCATGCTTTCACAAAGAAAAGCACCGCTTCGAAAACAAAAAGAGCAGCATGGTGATATGACAGACCTGGCAACGCATCCTCCTGTTCAGTGTTCCCAGCATATTTTCTCTTTGAGAGTCTCTCACTCCAGTATTTCACGCCTCGCGACCACGACAGTAGCTTTCGTGAGTTTGGTGGAGCTACAATACACTTGAGGGAGTGCAACATGGCCCGACACGTTGCACTCCTGAGTGGATATAACACATATATCAATTAGGATACGGCGGCAACGATGCACCAATTACGCGCGCAGGCCTGTCACAACATATCGCATTAGCGCCCCCGCGCCACTGCTATGCATGCTGTGACCTGGTCCAAGGCCGTGTAATAAGGCAGGGCCGCGGATTTTGCCCGCACTTCCCTCCACTATTACAGTGACGTCACAGTCACATCTTGGCATCGCCGCAGCGCATGCATTACTGTCGTGTCTGCCACACCGGTATACCTACGAACATGTGTGTCTGGTGCTCGCCACAGGGCACTTCAACAGGTCTTCTCAGGAAATATGGAAGGGGGATTTTTTTGGCGACGCAGAGTGTATAATAGCGAACATAAGCGTAGCAACTGGGAACCTGTGTGACATGGCACATCTAGGTTCTGAGAATGGCAAACATCGAGTATATGGCGATGCATTGAAGTTGGCCGGCCCACAGCTGCTCAAATCCAGCCTGGCAGACCCGCCCAAGGTCAACCTATTGCTAAAGAAGGAGCTGAGCAACACCAGGGTGACCATCTGGATTGTCGCGCTGAACCTCAGCACTGTGCAAAGTGGTGCGCCGGGTCCCACTGGTGTGCGTTTGAGGTAGTTTTAGATGACGAGGGTGGTGTAGGGGAAAGTGGGGCGAAATGAGGCACCCGGGTTAAACGGGCACCCCGCGATTTCGGCTGTTAGAGGTGGCGTCATCTGAAATCAATGGTTGAAACTAAAGCTTCTCTGACAGAGGACGGAAATGACGTGCACCGGGCCTTTCTGTCGGCGGCCGTCATTGGAGGGGGGCGTGAGTTTTCGCTTTCCATTTTTTGTTATTGTTTTTATGGTGATTTGAACGTCGTTTATTCTACGAGTATACTGAGCCGTGAATTCAAAGTTGCTGCGCTTTGATGGTGTATGCATGCAGATTCCTTGCGAGCAATAATGCATTTTTCGGCCAGCTTACGTTGCGTGTCGAATCGTGTTGTTAGCGTCCATGGGGCAGAATGGTTGGGGCAAAATGGGCACTCGGGGGAAAATAGGGCATAAAAGATCCCGTTTTGCCCCACCTGAAATATGACTATTGCAAGGAAAGTTTGGCTTGAGTAAGCCATGAACACAAAACAAAAAACAAAAAAGTGTTATTTTCTCTGCTTATGGGCAAGACCCAGCAAATGGTAGTAAGTTTTAATGTTTATTTATCATGTTGTGCCCAGAAGCACTGCTAACTCTAATAAAGTGGGGAAAACCTTACACTCTCTTTAAACATACACGATTCAATGTTTTGTTCTTAAATTATTAAATAGTTCAACGGTTCCTTGTTCCTTAAACATTAGGACACTTATTGGTTAGTATAACAAAGAAGTTGTTTCATCATATCGCCCTTAATATTAAACTTAAATAATTTAACACAGGAAATGAAATGCCCTAATACCAACTAGTTATAGGCATGAGGTTAGTCATTTCTTTTTGATAATTGTACTTAATTTTTCATACCAGGTAAGCGTTTTCCTAGTTTATGCAAAGGAATATAGGTACATTGACGGTCCAGGGAGGGGTTGGGAACGGGGAGACTTAAGGGGCAGATGACCTCCCCAAATCCGTTCGAAGTTCACGCTGACGTTCTTTTTTTACAGAGGAACTACTTCACCAGACGGAGAATGGTTCGAAATTACAAGAGAAGAACCGACCGGCAATCCTGGAAGCAGGATACGATGGCAAAGGCCATCAAAGCAGTCAAGGTGGGAAAATGTCCACTAAAGAAGCGGCACGCCGCTTTCTGGTCCTGAAGTGGACTCTCGACAGACGGCTGAAAAAGGCAAGGGCAATGTCAATAACGGAGGCCACAGAGAAGGTCCTGGGTGGACACAAACCTGTTTTCACGGAAGCTCAGGAGCGAGATTTGGTGCAGCACATAATGGAACTCCAAAACGAAATGTTCGTAATAACGCTGACTGACCTCAAGAAGCTCGCATAGGAGTTCGCAGACATTTTTTTGGTACAAGGAACAAAATCACTCACCCATTCAACACGGTGGCGAAGATGGCAGGGGAAGCGTCGATACGGTGCTTCCGCAAGAGGAACCCCACAATCTCACTGAGGACGCCAGAGGCCACAAGCGTTGCTCGTGCCGCGGCGTTCAACTCAGTCAATGTCAACGCGTTCTTCGACAGCCTAGAGTCCCAGATGGATTCTGCCCAGTTCGGTCCCACACGCATCTACAACATGGATGAAACGGGATTCAACACGGTCGCAACAAAACAAGAGAAGGTGCTGGCGAGGAAAGGGTGCAAGCAGGTCGGCCAACTGACATCTGCGGAACGAGGCACGCTGGTTATCGGGGTGATGTGTATCAACGTTGCGGGGAGCTACATACTTCCAGGTGTGATATTCCCAAGAAGGAGGGCCAACCAGCGGTTGGAGAAGGGTCTTCCCCCCGGTAGCCTGGTGCTGTACCATGAGTCTGGTTGGATGCAGAAGGAGCTGTTCGTGAAATGGCTTGATCATTTCATACAGCACGCGAAGCCCTCGAAACAGGATCCAGTTCTCGTGCTGGATGGACATGCCAGCCACACCAAGAGCCTCGCAGCCATCCTGCTGTGCAGGGAAGCAGGCGTGGTGATGCTCACCATTCCTCTGCACACCTCACACCGCCTTCAACTACTGGACCGGACGTTCATGCTTCTCGTCAGCACCTTCTTCTTCCAAGGTCAGAGAACGTGGCTCCGAAACAACCCTGGTAAAGTCATCACACTGTATGAGATGGGGGAGCTGATCGGGTCAGCATACGTGCAGGCGGCAACAATGAAGACGGCGTTGAAGGTCTTCGAAGGCACGGGGATCTTTCCCACAAACCGTCATCTGTTTGGCAAAGAAGACTTTGCAGCGGCAGAAACAACGAACATCCCGTTGACCGGCACCGCAGACGAACCAGTGGGTCTCAACTCAGCAGCAGCTGCTCTGCCCATGCCTGGGCCCCTTGAAGTTGATGTCTCGGTGAGCACGAACGTTCGGGAGTCCTCGGAAACTCTCGCCGGAGACGCAACGCAGGCTGGAATATCGGGGCAGGGAAGCTCGACTAATGCCGGAACTCCGGCGAAGTTGTTCACCGCTGGGGTTCTGCCAGATGATTTCTCAAGCTCTAGCGATGACGAAGATGACGTTCTAGAAGTGTCATGCTCAGCTGGACCGACCCATGCTTCCTGAGGTCAAAACGACACACCCGCAAGCTCCTATGTGTCTCCCCGCGAAATCCTCCCTGTTCCAAAAGTGCACTCAAGGGAGAAGAGAGGCACAGGACGAAATAAAGGTAAAACATGTGTCTTGACTGGCACACCATACAAGGAGGAACTCGAGAAGAGACTCGAAGGAAAAGAAGGCAGACAGGGAGGAAAGAAAAATGACGACAGAAGTCAGTCTAAAGGAAGAAAAAGGCAGAGTGTAAAAACTCAGAAACCGCTGCGCAAACAAAAGAAGCGTACGCCGCGAAAGCTTACCTTTGAGGAGTCCTCGGACGAAGAAGATGTAGCTTGTCTGTACTGCGGGTCCTTCTTCTCCATCGAGCGAGTCTTGGTCGCGATGTGCTCTCTGTGATAAATGGGCGCACGATGCCTGTGCAGGGATCGATGAAGGGGACGAGTGCGTGTTCGTGTGCGAACTGTGCCGGGATGACTAAGCAGGCTGATGTTTTGTCTAGTTTCGCCATTGGTCGTACCTGCTGACGGGTCCACTAGGCTGTGCTCTTTTCGTGTTTTGTGTTCATAGTGACTAAGAAGTGGATTGATGAAAAGAACGAGTGAGTGTTCCTGGGCGAACTTTGCTCGGTGACTTGTGTGTTTGAGACACGATCGTTGTCGTGTCATTGTGTAACCACCAGGCTGTGTTCCTCTAGTTCTGTGTCTAAGCCATGCGTCAGTGGCAGTCGCTTCATACCAAGCTGTAATACACATTTGCTAGCCATTATAACTTTTATTCGTGGGATCATACTGAGGAAACGAGTATGGAGTGGGATGGTTTGAACAAAATATGAGAGCCCAAACTTAAGAAATATAGCTATTGGATGTCAAGATAAATACCTACTCATCGAAAAATGCATTAATTGATGCACTTTCATTAAAAAATGATAGCTTTGAAAATATTTATTTCGCTTGTTCAATCTCATCACTTGTCCGTTTTGCCCCGAATTCTGCTTCGTTTTGCCCCAAGCCAGGGACAAATGAGAAAAAAAACGTTGCCTGATATTTGGGAGGATCACACTTTAACATGAAGAGATATCAAACCAGCGCTTTTAAAAAAGATAGGCGATTGATCAGCCCTCAATATCCAACTCCTAAAGACTTTCTGGACAGACTTATGAACTCCCATATTTAAAAAACCGTTAGGTGTCCGTCTTGTCCCGCTTTCCCGTACTGTCTCATGTTTGGTAGGAAATAGAGCATCGCGAACGTTGCAGAATTTCATATGCTCCAACTATGCCACAAGGCCTCAGAAGATCGTGCCGCATGGCGTTAATATATATAAATGTATATATATATATATATATATATATATATATATATATATATATATATATATAAATGTGTGTATATACATATATATATACCTATATATATATATATATATATATATATATATATATAAATGTATATATATATATATAAATGTGTGTATATACATATATATATATATATATATATATATATATATATATATATATATATTGTGTATACATATATATAGCTATCGGATATATACATAATATGTATATATATATATATATACACATATTGTATATACATATATATATAGCTATTGGATATATACATAGTATGTGTATATATATATATATATATATATATATATATATATATATACAACTTGAAATAGATGCCTTGGTTTGCTGAAGCATCAGTCACGAGCTCATAAGTTCCATCTTTTGTGAATTGATTTTTTCACTCCCGCACGGTCTTTTTGTGATGGGATTTTTCACTCTCACCCTAGTTCAAAAGCGGTTCTAGCTCCCTGGTTTGAATTATGCGTGAATGTATTGTAACCTCCCATATTGCCAAAATCGTATGCCGT